TTGAAGGTTAGCCTCCAGCTTTCTGGACGTTTCTAGATGTTCTACGTACCTGGCTGCACCTCCCCTTTCCGGGCTGAGTGAATTCTGACTTGAACTTTGTGGAGGGTTCCTACTAGGAAACAAGGGTGGGCAGGCAGCCTTGGTTCACACCTCCAGGAAGGAAGCCTAAAAGCCCACATGGTCGGGGTTGTTGTTGCTGAAACTGGACAAAGGTGGCAAGCTGTGGCGCATTTTCCACGTGATACCCCGGAGTAACCTTCCTATGGACGGCCTATTACTACAGGTGGACTTTGTGGATTTCTTCTGGTCTTCTTAGCCCGTACTGATCCTCTTAGTCCGTACTGGTCCTCTTAGTCCGTACTGGTCTTCTTAGCCCGTACTGGTCTTCTTAGCCCGTACTGGTCTTCTTAGCCCGTACTGGTCTTCTTAGCCCGTACTGGTCATCTTAGCTCGTACTGGTCATCTTAGCCCGTACTGGTCATCTTAGCCCGTACTGCTCATCTTAGCCCGTACTGGTCTTCTTAGCCCGTACTGGTCTTCTTAGCCCGTCCTGGTCTTCTTAGCCCGTACTGGTCTTCTTAGCCCGTACTGGTCTTCTTAGCCCGTACTGGTCATCTTAGCCCGTACTGGTCATCTTAGCCCGTACTGGTCCTCTTCTTATCCCGTACTGGTGGTCATCTTAGTCTGTTACTGGTCTTCTTCTTAGCCCGTACTGGTCTTCTTAGCCCGTACTGGTCTTCTTAGCACGTACTGGTGGTCTTCTTAGCCCGTACTGGTCTTCTTCTTAGCCCGTACTGGTCTTCTTAGCCCGTACTGGTGGTCTTCATAGCCCATACTGGTCTTCTTAGCCAGTACTGGTCATCTTAGCCCGTACTGGTCCTCTTCTTAGCCCCTACTGGTTCTCTTCTTAGCCCATACTGGTCCTCTTCTTAGCCCCTACTGGTCCTCTTCTTAGCCCGTACTGGTGGTCATCTTAGTCCGTTACTGGTCTTCTTCTTAGCCCGTACTGGTCTTCTTAGCCCGTACTGGTCTTCTTAGCACGTACTGGTGGTCTTCTTAGCCCGTACTGGTCTTCTTTTTAGCCCGTACTGGTGGTCTTCATAGCCCATACTGGTCTTCTTAGCCAGTACTGGTCATCTTAGCCCGTACTGGTCCTCTTCTTAGCCCCTACTGGTTCTCTTCTTAGCCCATACTGGTCATCTTAGTCCATTACTGGTCTTCTTAGCCCATACTGGTCTTCTTAGCCCGTACTGGTGGTCTTCTTAGCCCGTACTGGTCTTCTTAGCCCGTACTGGTCCTCTTAGCCCGTACTGGTCTTCTTAGCCCGTACTGGTCTTCTTAGCCCGTACTGGTCTTCTTAGCCCGTACTGGTCTTCTTAGCCCGTACTGGTCTTCTTAGCCCGTACTGGTCTTCTTAGCCCGTACTGGTCTTCTTAGCCCGTACTGGTCTTCTTAGCCCGTACTGGTCTTCTTAGCCCGTACTGGTCATCTTAGCTCGTACTGGTCATCTTAGCCCGTACTGGTCATCTTAGCCCGTACTGCTCATCTTAGCCCGTACTGGTCTTCTTAGCCCGTACTGGTCTTCTTAGCCCGTACTGGTCTTCTTAGCCCGTACTGGTCATCTTAGCCCGTACTGGTCATCTTAGCCCGTACTGGTCCTCTTCTTATCCCGTACTGGTGGTCATCTTAGTCTGTTACTGGTCTTCTTCTTAGCCCGTACTGGTCTTCTTAGCCCGTACTGGTCTTCTTAGCACGTACTGGTGGTCTTCTTAGCCCGTACTGGTCTTCTTCTTAGCCCGTACTGGTCTTCTTAGCCCGTACTGGTGGTCTTCATAGCCCATACTGGTCTTCTTAGCCAGTACTGGTCATCTTAGCCCGTACTGGTCCTCTTCTTAGCCCCTACTGGTTCTCTTCTTAGCCCATACTGGTCCTCTTCTTAGCCCCTACTGGTCCTCTTCTTAGCCCGTACTGGTGGTCATCTTAGTCCGTTACTGGTCTTCTTCTTAGCCCGTACTGGTCTTCTTAGCCCGTACTGGTCTTCTTAGCACGTACTGGTGGTCTTCTTAGCCCGTACTGGTCTTCTTTTTAGCCCGTACTGGTGGTCTTCATAGCCCATACTGGTCTTCTTAGCCCGTACTGGTCATCTTAGCCCGTACTGGTCCTCTTCTTAGCCCCTACTGGTTCTCTTCTTAGCCCGTACTGGTCATCTTAGTCCATTACTGGTCTTCTTAGCCCATACTGGTCTTCTTAGCCCGTACTGGTGGTCTTCTTAGCCCGTACTGGTCTTCTTAGCCCGTACAGGTGGTCTTCTTAGCCCGTACTGGTGGTCTTCTTAGCCCGTACTGGTCTTCTTCTTAGCCCGTACTGGTCATCTTAGCCCGTACTGGTCTTCTTAGCCCGTACTGGTCCTCTTCTTAGCCCCTACTGGTCCTCTTCTTAGCCCATACTGGTCATCTTAGTCCGTTATTGGTCTTCTTAGCCCGTACTGGTCCTCTTCTTAGCCCCTACTGGTCCTCTTCTTAGCCCGTACTGGTCTTCTCAGCCCGTACCGGTCTTCTTAGCCCGTACTGGTCTTCTTAGCCCGTACTGGTGGTCTTAGCCCGTACCAGTCTTCTTAGCCAGTACTGGTGGTCTTCTTAGCCCGTACTGGTGGTCTTCTTAGCCCGTACTGGTGGTCTTCTTAGCCCGTACTGGTCACAACAGTCACATGCGCGATTGTTGACATTGTAGCGCGCTTTCCCACATCGGAATGTTGTTTCGGGGAAGCCTTTGTCTCCACACCCAAAGCCGGGCCACGATCGCGTTTTTAATAAGATACTACGCAGAATGACCGGCTCATTGGTTCCCCCGTACCGGCTTCATTATTGGATCTTCATTATTGGAGTCGACGTTTCACGCTTGACGTCGCTTCTTCAAGAGGAGGAAGTTATCAATAAAGTGAGCCGATGTGTGTGCGTCCCTGCGGCCCCCGTCCAGGCGCAGCACCTCAACCACACCCACCAGAGCAGACAACGGGAGAGAGGTCGAGAACATGGGCTCAACTTTAGGCAGCAGAGGGTGAGAGGTATGAGGTATCAAAAGAACCATTAGATGAATGCAGACCTATATCAGGTGGTTCCCCCTTCGTAGACCGAGGAGTATCCGTCCTCCTCTCACCTCCAAGCCCCCAGCGTGCTGTATGGCCGCCAACCAGGCTACACACTGGCCAGTCTGTAGCCTGGGGGCGGCCATACAGCACGCCGGGGGCTTGGTTATTTTGACACCACATACCTCTCACCCTCGGATTCCAACCAAAGGAAGAACTGATGTCTTGATGTTCTTAATCTCTTGGATATGGAACTGTAACGCCCGGTCTGCAAGGCAGCGAGTAACCGCCTGGTGTTAGCGGCCCCATTTGTACCCAACCGCCTTGATCGTTCTCCTAGAACCTGACTGGTTTACTTCTGTACGTCATGGTTGGGTACCTCACGGCCTGGTTTTGGTTGTTGGGGCTTTGGTATGAGGATCTGGAGCCGATTGAACAATAAAGAGTATTATTCTGCTCTCACTCGGTGCCAGCCTGGTGCTACTGCGACGTTCTGGTGGCAACGGTGGGATTTCAACCAACATGAGATGCGGCGATGGGAGTTAGAAGAGTTTCCTGTGGCAACCATCAGGAAATGTTGAGTAGAGGGGTGAGTGCTGACGGGAAAAAGAAAGCTGAGCTTGTTTGCCTATCTGGAAACCTTTGAAACATGCGCAAAACCCATAAAATTCCAGGAGTGGACTTGGATGGAAGGTTACCTGGAAGAAGCCAGAGCCACGCTTTTTGGGCTGTTCTAGGTGAAAAGCGGACCAACTATGAGGAGGTCAAACAGGCCACATACGCCGTTACCCCAGAGTCTTACCGCCAATGTTTTCGAACGCTCCCCAAGTCCACAGGTGACACCTATGTAGAATATGGCAACAAGCTGACTCATGCTCTCATTGGATACGAGGCGGTGATCGGGCGCGGTCAAGGTGCCACGCATCGTGTTCCTTCAGACGGTCACGTATAGTGTTGGCCATGCTCTGTGGGCCATAGTTTGTAGCCAATTCCACCGCTCCGGCAATCACAATGACTTCTGGTCTCTGTGAGATAGTGTCCTCGGACTGCGAGTTCCTCATTAGAACCCGGCTGCCATGTAAGCCCTTTAACCAGGTGGCAGTATAATGGGAGCGACCGCTTCCATCTCATTACACTGAGACCTGATAAAAGGGCTTACATGCCGTGTATGGAGTCATGAAAATATTTTTCTGACTCTTGATGAAATAACAAGTCAATGTAATTTTTTTTTTTTTTATTAAAAGCTGCTTGGTGTCTCTCCCGATCAAAATGCGGCCAGGTAATGTTTTGTATGGAGTAAGTACACTATAGAGCTGTCTTTTCCTGTCAAATAAACACTCTAAAATTGTTTGTTCAACTAGAAGGTGACCGTTGTCCGTCCTGTTCAAAATGCAGGCTACCAAAAGTGCTTAAACACCATGGAGTCAATGAAACATTTTCCGCACTCAAGGCAAAAGTACGGCTTCTATCGAGTGAATTTTTTGATGTTTGACAAGTTCAGATATCCGTGGACATTTCCCGCACTCACGGTGGGAGAAAAGCTTTTCCTACATGTGGCTTTTCTGATGGACATTATGATAGGACTTCCGTGAAGAAGATTTGCAACACGCAGAACAGGGCTGATGCTTCTCACCCGTGTGAGACCCACCTATGTATGTGAAGAAGGAATTTCAGTGAAAATAATTTCCAGCACTCGGGAGGAATATGGATTTGCTGTGTGGGATCTGTGACGTGTAACAAGTCCTGATTTCTGTGTAAAACATTTTCTGCACTGGGGCAAGATGAAGGGAGCCTGCGTGGCCCCGAAACGTTGGTTTTTCATGTGATGCACTTCTGCAATAAATACACGCATGAAGTTAAAAATGATTTCTGTTGAGTGCTGGTGAACTTTATTATTTTCAAGCCCGGGGCAAGACTATGACTTCTCACCCGTGTGTAATATCTCATGTCTGAAAAGCCTGGTCTCATTTGAAAAACATTTTCCACACGTAGGGCACGAATAAGGCATTCTCTCATGCCTTAAAAAACAAGTCTTATCTGAAAAACTTTTCCCACACTTAGGGCAGCAATAAGGCTTCTCGCCTGTGTGTATTCTCTGATGTACAATAAGATTGTTCTTCTGTGAAAAATGTTTTCCACACTCGAGGCAGGGATACAACTTTTCACCTGTGTGAGACCTCAGATGTATGGAAAGGCTGGAGTTCTGTGAAAAACTTTTCCCACACTCAGGACAGGAATACAACTTCACACAACCCGTGTGCAATCTCTGATGTTTGTTAAGGCTGGACTTCTGTGAAAAAAATTTCCCGCACTCTTCACAGGGATATGGCTTCTGCCCTCTGTGCCATCTTTGGTGTATAACCAGGTCTGATTTTCGGGGATAACTTTTCCCACACTCAAGACAGGAATATGGCTTCTCGCCTGTGTGTAATCTCTGATGTCTAGAAAGATGGGCCTTCTGTAAAAAACATTTACCGCACTCAGGACAAGAATAAGGCCTTTCCCCTGTGTGAGATCTCTGATGGAGGGAAAGGCTGTACTTCTGTGAAAAACCTTTTCCGCACTCTGAACAGGTATGAAGCTTCTCACCTTTCTGACATCTCTGATGTTCAGAGAGACTCAATTCAGACTCAAAACTTTCTCCACAATCAGGAGTGGAAAATGTCTCCTCCCCCTGAATTCCGGCACCATCCCCCACAGGACGAGGTCGCTCAGAGTCAGAGGGATTCCATGGTCTATCCACACTGTGACGTCCACCATCCATAGCTGAGCTCATTGTCTCTTCTCCCGCACAATCTGCTGTGATGTCCTCATCTTCCATCTTACAACCTGGAGATAAAGTCAGACGATCCTTTGAGGGTTCCTCCATGGCGTGTCCTGGAAACATAGAAACACATGATGGAGAGATATGAGAGGGTTAGATGACTTCACTCAACATTCCATCTGGATCAGGAGGTCTGAGGGAGCGGATGTTCTATGAGGAGGTCCCAACCAGCCAGGGACTCCTCCCTTCAGTCAAAGGGCCTCCTCCCAGATCACTTCTACATTGACACAGCCTTGTCAGAATAGGGGGAGCCAATGGGGACTGGGAGGAGCATGATCTTCACCCAACCACAAGCCTAGGCACTGGGTCATGTGACCTCTGAGAAACGAGAAGATCAGAGTATAGACTGGCAGCCACTCCCACGGATAACATAAGAATATATTATGAGTCACCTGTGCTGATCTCTGTAGGAGTGTCCTCCTCTATGGACGTCCTCATCACTCCGGCCTCCTCCGTATATCGCTGATCATGCCTCACATACGTCTCTTCTACTTCACCCTCAACTTTCATCTTCATCAGATCTTCACCCTAAACCAACAGAACGGCAGAAAGTCTCATCTGTGACATAGAAGTATTTATGATGTGACATCACATAGAAGATCTCGTCTGGTAGAGTCCACACGTCATCTCCACATGTCAGAGCGTTCCATCACTTTATGTTCCCGCCCCCCAACTCCACCCACCTGATCATGGTGGGGGATGGTGAGATCTTCCTGGGTGGGATCCGGGGAATACAGAGGAAGGGGACATCTCTCTGGTGGGTTCCTCTTACTAGGTGGCTCCATCATAATATCCTTGTAGAGTTTATTGGGTCCTTCAGAAAGCTCCTCCATCACACCGTACTCCTCATCCTCCTGTTTACACTCTTCTTTAACAACAATGTTATAATCCCCGAGGTCTGCGCTCTGAATATAAAATAAAACATTAATTGTAACAAACATTCTTCTGTATAAAACCATAACTGCCAATAATTATGAATAATCTACCTGATCCTGGTGGGGGATGGTGAGATCTTCCTGGGTGGGGTCCCGGGAATACAGGGGGCGGGGACATCTCTCTGGTGGGTTCCTGTTGTTCGAGGGTTCCATCATATCCATGTGTCCTTCTAAAAACTCCTCCATCGCCCCGTACTCCTCGTCCTCCTTTTTAAACTCTTCTTTAACAATATTATTGTACTCGAGGTTTCCACTCTGATTAGATAATGAAACATTAATTGTACTAACATGCGTGTGTATAAATCATACCGATCCGTGATTGTTCATCATCTACCTCCTCCATCATTGGTGCAGTCCTCTATGAAAGTCTCCCTGTAGACAGATAACATTGATATCAGAGAATGATCCGGATTGTGTTGGTTGTACAATAATAGGAGGAGGAGATGTGAGGTCAGTGTGATGTCATAGGATGGGGTGACTCTGGATGGAGGACATTGGGGGGAGGAGATGTGAGGTCAGTGTGATGTCATAGGATGTGGTGACTCTGGATGGAGGACATTGGGAGAAGGAGATGTGAGGTCAGTGTGATGTCATAGGATGGGGTGACTCTGGATGGAGGACATTGAGAGAAGATGTGAGGTCAATGTGATGTCATAGGATGGGGTGACTCTGGATGGAGGACATTGGGGGGGGGGGGATGGGAGGTCAGGGTGATGTCATAGTATGGGGTGACTCCGGATGGAGGACATTGGGGGGGGGGGGATGGGAGGTCAGGGTGATGTCATAGTATGGGGTGACTCCGGATGGAGGACATTGGGGGGGGGGGGATGGGAGGTCAGGGTGATGTCATAGTATGGGGTGACTCCGGATGGAGGACATTGGGGGGGGGGGGATGGGAGGTCAGGGTGATGTCATAGTATGGGGTGACTCCGGATGGAGGACATTGGGGGGGGGGGGATGGGAGGTCAGGGTGATGTCATAGTATGGGGTGACTCCGGATGGAGGACATTGGGGGGGGGGGGATGGGAGGTCAGGGTGATGTCATAGTATGGGGTGACTCCGGATGGAGGACATTGGGGGGGGGGGGATGGGAGGTCAGGGTGATGTCATAGTATGGGGTGACTCCGGATGGAGGACATTGGGGGGGGGGGGATGGGAGGTCAGGGTGATGTCATAGTATGGGGTGACTCCGGATGGAGGACATTGGGGGGGGGGGGATGGGAGGTCAGGGTGATGTCATAGTATGGGGTGACTCCGGATGGAGGACATTGGGGGGGGGGGGATGGGAGGTCAGGGTGATGTCATAGTATGGGGTGACTCCGGATGGAGGACATTGGGGGGGGGGGGATGGGAGGTCAGGGTGATGTCATAGTATGGGGTGACTCCGGATGGAGGACATTGGGGGGGGGGGGATGGGAGGTCAGGGTGATGTCATAGTATGGGGTGACTCCGGATGGAGGACATTGGGGGGGGGGGGATGGGAGGTCAGGGTGATGTCATAGTATGGGGTGACTCCGGATGGAGGACATTGGGGGGGGGGGGATGGGAGGTCAGGGTGATGTCATAGTATGGGGTGACTCCGGATGGAGGACATTGGGGGGGGGGGGATGGGAGGTCAGGGTGATGTCATAGTATGGGGTGACTCCGGATGGAGGACATTGGGGGGGGGGGGATGGGAGGTCAGGGTGATGTCATAGTATGGGGTGACTCCGGATGGAGGACATTGGGGGGGGGGGGATGGGAGGTCAGGGTGATGTCATAGTATGGGGTGACTCCGGATGGAGGACATTGGGGGGGGGGGGATGGGAGGTCAGGGTGATGTCATAGTATGGGGTGACTCCGGATGGAGGACATTGGGGGGGGGGGGATGGGAGGTCAGGGTGATGTCATAGTATGGGGTGACTCCGGATGGAGGACATTGGGGGGGGGGGGATGGGAGGTCAGGGTGATGTCATAGTATGGGGTGACTCCGGATGGAGGACATTGGGGGGGGGGGGATGGGAGGTCAGGGTGATGTCATAGTATGGGGTGACTCCGGATGGAGGACATTGGGGGGGGGGGGATGGGAGGTCAGGGTGATGTCATAGTATGGGGTGACTCCGGATGGAGGACATTGGGGGGGGGGGGATGGGAGGTCAGGGTGATGTCATAGTATGGGGTGACTCCGGATGGAGGACATTGGGGGGGGGGGGATGGGAGGTCAGGGTGATGTCATAGTATGGGGTGACTCCGGATGGAGGACATTGGGGGGGGGGGGATGGGAGGTCAGGGTGATGTCATAGTATGGGGTGACTCCGGATGGAGGACATTGGGGGGGGGGGGATGGGAGGTCAGGGTGATGTCATAGTATGGGGTGACTCCGGATGGAGGACATTGGGGGGGGGGGGATGGGAGGTCAGGGTGATGTCATAGTATGGGGTGACTCCGGATGGAGGACATTGGGGGGGGGGGGATGGGAGGTCAGGGTGATGTCATAGTATGGGGTGACTCCGGATGGAGGACATTGGGGGGGGGGGGATGGGAGGTCAGGGTGATGTCATAGTATGGGGTGACTCCGGATGGAGGACATTGGGGGGGGGGGGATGGGAGGTCAGGGTGATGTCATAGTATGGGGTGACTCCGGATGGAGGACATTGGGGGGGGGGGGATGGGAGGTCAGGGTGATGTCATAGTATGGGGTGACTCCGGATGGAGGACATTGGGGGGGGGGGGATGGGAGGTCAGGGTGATGTCATAGTATGGGGTGACTCCGGATGGAGGACATTGGGGGGGGGGGGATGGGAGGTCAGGGTGATGTCATAGTATGGGGTGACTCCGGATGGAGGACATTGGGGGGGGGGGGATGGGAGGTCAGGGTGATGTCATAGTATGGGGTGACTCCGGATGGAGGACATTGGGGGGGGGGGGATGGGAGGTCAGGGTGATGTCATAGTATGGGGTGACTCCGGATGGAGGACATTGGGGGGGGGGGGATGGGAGGTCAGGGTGATGTCATAGTATGGGGTGACTCCGGATGGAGGACATTGGGGGGGGGGGGATGGGAGGTCAGGGTGATGTCATAGTATGGGGTGACTCCGGATGGAGGACATTGGGGGGGGGGGGATGGGAGGTCAGGGTGATGTCATAGTATGGGGTGACTCCGGATGGAGGACATTGGGGGGGGGGGGATGGGAGGTCAGGGTGATGTCATAGTATGGGGTGACTCCGGATGGAGGACATTGGGGGGGGGGGGATGGGAGGTCAGGGTGATGTCATAGTATGGGGTGACTCCGGATGGAGGACATTGGGGGGGGGGGGATGGGAGGTCAGGGTGATGTCATAGTATGGGGTGACTCCGGATGGAGGACATTGGGGGGGGGGGGATGGGAGGTCAGGGTGATGTCATAGTATGGGGTGACTCCGGATGGAGGACATTGGGGGGCGGAGATGTGAGGTCAGTGAGATGTCATAGGATGGGGCGCCTCTGGATGGAGGACATCGGGAGGAGGAGATGTGAGGTCACTATAATTGTATGGGGTACGGGGGATGGGGGATTCATTTAGATGAAGGCTTGAACATCTGTTTTTATTTTATGAGCTTTGTTTAAGAAGAATCAAGGAAAAATATTAAGATATTTGTGTATCAAAATCTGGCAGAGATATGTCGTTACTGTGACTATGGAGGACGGACATGACGGGGGGGGGTTACTGGGTGTAAATATAAAATAATATCTTATTACCTCCTCTGCTGCCAGTCCCAGCAATGTCTCCTCTCTACTTCCTCTCAAATAACCAAGACCTTCCTATTTATATGTGACATCACTTCCTGTCCGTTTTCCATAGAGACTTCCTGTCTGGGTATAGGTGAGATCACCACCTTGTGGAGCTCAGAGGGACTGAGAGACCTCTCGTAGTGTGAACACGGCCTTGTGCTATTGCGTGTACACCGATCAGCCATAACATTCTAACCACCCACCTAATATTCAGTAGGTCCCCCTTGTCCAGGCCCATCCAGGCATGGACTCCACTAGACCTCTGAAGGTGTGCTGTGGTATCTGGATGACCCCCCTAATATTGAGTAGGTCCCCTTCTCTTGACCCGTCCAGACATGGACTCCACTAGACCTCTGAAGGTGTGCTGTGGTATCTGGATGACCCCCCTAATATTGAGTAGATCCCCCTTTTCCTGATCCATCCAGACATGGACTCCACTAGACCTCCGAAGGTGTGCTGTGGTATCTGGCCCCAAGCCGTCAGTAGCGGATCCTTTAAGTCCTGTAAGTTGTGAGGTGATCGGCCTCCATGAATCGGACTTGTTTTTCCAGCACATCCCACAGATGATCGATTGGACTGAGATCTGTAGACCAAGTCATCGCCTCAAACTCATTGTTGTCAGGGCCGGACTGGCCATTGACCTTACCAGGCATTTGCTGGCTGGCCGAGCTGCACACATTCAACCTGGCTCGGCCCACTACGCATGATGACCAGGCCAACACAGCACAACAGTTGCAGCCCGTCAAGAGCATAAATCCTTCTCCAGGCGGCAGCTGCTATAAGCTGGGGGGGGAGAGCATGGATCCGCCATTGGCTGGAAGGTTCAGGGTGGACGGGCTCTGCCTTTTGCTCTAGAGCTCTCTTCACAAAGCCTGTGGTGAGTGCACAGCAAGACTGAATGCTTGTCAAATGGAGAGCATTGAGAAGACAAGTGTGGTAGGTGGAAGGATAGATGGAGAGGGGGAGTATGGGAAGGAACATCAGTTTCAGGGGGCAAGAAGTGCACCATGTGGAAGAGGTGCTGCAGAAGAAACTCTTGGCCACCCTTCCAGAGAGTGGCAAGATCTCCATTCATGGCCAACGTGAGGAGCAGGGATAGTGCTGGCTGCCCATATGTTCTTGAGAACTTAGCCTTGGCTGCTGTCATTTGCCTAACCCATGGTCTCAGATTACCCGGCCTTTAGGAAAACCTTTGAAACAAGGACTTCCCGGACTTTGGAGTGTCCAGGTTGGACCACTGGTCCGGAGTTGCCCAGTATACAATCAAGCTGCTGGTCTGTCCTGGGACCAGTTTGCTGGCAGAGAGAGCCTTCAGCACAGCGGGCAGTTTTCTGACGGAGACAAACCCACACGTCCCCGACACAGTTGACTGGCTCTCTTTTTTCCAAACGAACCAGTCCAGGATCGGCAATGAGAACCCAACACATGCAGTGGAGGGCTTCAAATCAATTGTTTCTTAGAATTCGGGCCCCCAAACAACATTATTATACCACCGTACTTCTGCCACCACTGATGGCCCGCTATCATTGCCATCTCCTACCAGCATAACCGGCTTCTTGACCACAGCTGACCTGACATCATAACCTTCTCCTGCCACCGCTGATGGCCTGTCATCATTGCCATCATCTCCTACCACCATAACCAGCTTCTTGACCACAGCTGACCTGACATCATAACCTTCTCCTGCCACCGCTGATGGCCTGTCATCATTGCCATCATCTCCTACCACCATAACCAGCTTCTTGACCACAGCTGACCTGACACCATAACCTTCTCCTGCCACAGCTGATGGCCCGTCATCATTGCCATCTCCTATCTTCCCATCAGCTCCTGTCACCATAACCTTCTCCTGCCACCGCTGATGGCCCGTCATCATTGCCATCTCCTATCTTCCCATCATCTCCTACCACCATAACCAGCTTCTTGACCACAGCTGACCTGACACCATAACCTTCTCCTGCCACAGCTGATGGCCCGTCATCATTGCCATCTCCTATCTTCCCATCAGCTCCTGTCACCATAACCTTCTCCTGCCACCGCTGATGGCCCGTCATCATTGCCATCTCCTATCTTCCCATCATCTCCTACCACCATAACCAGCTTCTTGACCACAGCTGACCTGACACCATAACCTTCTCCTGCCACAGCTGATGGCCCGTCATCATTGCCATCTCCTATCTTCCCATCAGCTCCTGTCACCATAACCTTCTCCTGCCACCGCTGATGGCCCGTCATCATTGCCATCTCCTATCTTCCCATCATCTCCTACCACCATAACCAGCTTCTTGACCACAGCTGACCTGACACCATAACCTTCTCCTGCCACAGCTGCTGGCCTCCCACCATTACCATCTCCAATCTTCCCATCAGCTCCTGTCACCATAACCTTCTCCTGCCACCGCTGATGGCCCGTCATCATTGCCATCTCCTATCTTCCCATCAGCTCCTGTCACCATAACCAGCTTCTTGACAACAGCTGACCTGACACCATAACTTTCTCCTGCCACCGCAGTTGGCTTCCAGCCATGACCATCTCATGTTGCCTCCACTGCCCTATTGTGGTGCTCTGCAAAGGTGCCACACATCGCTTGTCAGCAGCAGAGCCATGGCTGTGGTCATGTTCTCTGCATACTCTGGTGATCGGGGTCGGTCAAGGTGCCACACATCGTGTTTCTTCAGCCGGTCACGTATAGCGTTGGCTGCAGGGTAAGCCATGCTCTGTGGTCCATAGTTTGTAGCCAATCCCACCGCTCCAGCAATCACAATGACTTCTGGTGGTCTCTGAGACATAGTGTCCTCAGACTGCGAGTTCCTCATTAGAACCCGGCTTCCATGTAAGCCCTTTAACCAGGTGGCAGCGGAATGGGAGCGACCGGTTCTATCCCACTACACTGAGACCTGATAAAAGGGCTTACACGCCGTGTATGGAGTCCCGAAACTATTTTTCTGACTCTTTGAATTAAATAACAAAAAATTACCGGGACACATTGTGAACAGAGAAGACACCAAGCGGCTTTTGAAGATGTTCTTTAATTATAAATACCAAAGAGGAAAAAGAATACAGTAAAAAAAAAGTTTGAAGGTAGTAGAGGACAACCCGATCTCCTTCCTCGGAGACCCGAGGAACATCCGTATCAGTTACTAAGCAATTCATTCGAGTGAAAACACCAAAACACATAGACTACACAAGGGCCTGAAACGAGATAGTCATACATACAAAGAGCAAGGGGAGCCGAGGGACAGGAAGTGAAGATGGAAAGCAGATAATCAGGAGAAAGAGAAGACAAGAGATCGCATAGGGGAAGGGCAGGGATGAAGGCAAAGGGAGGTCGGAGCACTCAGTCCGAGGAGCAGAACCCACAGTACAACAATAAAAGCACAGGTAAGTCGAGACTAAGGCCGGGGTAGGCAACCTCGGCTCTCCAGCTGGGCTGAAACTACAAATCCCATCATGCGTCTGCCTCTGGGAGTCATGCCTGTGGCTTGCAATGCCTTATGGGATTTGTAGTTTCAGCACAGCTGGTAGAGTAAAGGTTGCCTACCCCTGGACTAAGGCTTTGTGGGGAGTGGACCACTACATTAGACAGTAATGACATGATAGATCCAAGGATTCCAGACATCACGGAACTGAGCATGAGGGTCATGTAAATGGGGTGTGAGGGCCTCCAACCTTCATCTCCTCAAACCATTCCTCAAAAGAGGGGAAGGGGGGGGGGG